TGTGTGTGTGTATTAAGAGAGATTAGGGGAAGAAGTTGGAGGGACATGTCCCAAATTAAGTGGGTGTTATAAAACAGGGGATATATATATATATTGTCGTTTCTTTATACATTTTGATACTATATGAAGAGATCGTACTGGGTTTCGAAGACACTCTTAATATATCAATCCTGGCACACCTTTGACATTTTCTGAAAACGCTTTTCCAACCACAAAGCTTCCAGATGAACCTTTGCAGCTCATATGAACTCAAAACAGCTAACCAACACCATTCAGTTCCGGGAGACAAGATAAATACTGTTCGGTCTAAATTATGTAATTAATGGCACTTCCAAATTAAATTTTTTAAATTTCATGATCTGTCTATCCAGAGCATTTTCACACTTAATCCTGGACCATGTTGATCCAGTTTATCATCTCTTATCACATTTATCAAACCTTTCAATAATATCGAATAGTAGTAATGCTTCACATAAGATACATTTAGTGGTTATACAAAATTATATAACCATTATCTCATTAAAACTCATTGTCAGCCTAAGCTTTATCTTTTTAATATTTGCACAGTTGGCTTACGAAGACGCTGTCAGCATGGAAAGCTCCCATTCATCAAAGAATAGTAAGTAGTGCCATGATTTTTTTATATATATTGCAATATTACCACTTTTGGCTGTTATAGCTTACTTCTTCCAGGGTTTTTTCAAAATTTTGTGTCGCTTGATATAGTAAGAGAAGCCTCATTGTAAGCCAGTTAATATAGATACCTTAATGCTTTATCGAATGTACTTTCCTCTTCCTATATAATCAGAATATTCTATAAATTTACCCTTTATATTAGGCCAAGAGTTATGTAGTTATTACTAATTTTTTGTTTACCTTATTGCTGCTAGCCCATTTAACATAGGTACCATTTTAAAAATATATACATATATATATATATATATATGCCCTAATGAATGTTTATTATTCCTATATAAGCATACATTCCTTTAAAAACTCTTATCTTCGTTAAGGCTAACAACTTCTTGGCTTCTTAAAATATCTTTGTTTTATTCTTTTAGTTTCTTTATTATTTCTTCTAAATGATAGGTATTATCACTTTTATTCCATTGTTATTACTTTTATTAAGCCTATTTTATGCATTTTTTGGGATTACTTAGTTAAGTGGATGGACTTATTACTTATTTTGTGTTAAATTGCCCGTGTTTGTGAAAAATTATGATATTCACCTAGCTCTGCATTATAGGGGTCATTTAAAGTTTTTTGAAGATTTTATTCAATGCCTTGTGTATATTTCTAGCCAAGTCTTGTCTACCTTATAGCCTTTTCTCAACCTAGCATCATTTAATTTCTCAATTTAGCTGGATTTTCACCTCGTCTTTCGGTCTCAACTGGAGGCCTCTCAACCAGCATCAGTAACCTTCAAACGGTCTCAGTCGAGGCAAACGATGCTGATAATGGTGGCTACTTATACGCTCATCCCAACTTCCCTCTTGGTGAGCTTTCTCATTTACTCTATTTCTTCCTCTACTTTAATTATATGAATTTTAAAAAACTTTTTAAATTAAAAATTAAATGTAATTATTTTTGAACTTCATGCACTAGATATTTTCGCATCTTTTTGGTTTATTGATATTAAGTCAAAGATGAATCTACAGTCAACTTAGAGTAAAGACACCCTATTAGGAATTTAATGGAAAATACAAACATTCATCAACTATTGTGGGCGTCTATCGGACAGTGGGCTTAGTATAGCTATCATCGCCGCTCTCTTTTCTTTTCCTTTTCTTAGCTTTCTCAGCTACTCCTAGCCTACTCCTAACTACCGGGGAGGCAGACCAATGCTCTCCACCTTTCACCACTGTTGCTCCAGCTCGTAGTTTCCTTCGCCGCACAGTTGATAAACCTATCTCAATACACAGATCCATCTATAGTCTTTCTACAGTTCCATGCTCTGCGATCGCAGTTTGTACCAGTACTGGTACTACTTCAGAAACTGTCACTAACTGTGGCATTCTCACCGCATCAACCACATCTGCCTCTGCCGTGGTCAGTATTAATTCTGCTGCTATTGGCTCTGGACCCTCGCGTCTATCCACACGCATTCCCGAAACGACAACTGACTTCTTTCCGTCTCATTTCTGTGATGACTCCTCCCATAAAACTCACCCAAGTGGAAACCTGCCATCAGCATCACCGCCTCCTCCTCCTGCACGCCGTTGTTTGATGGCTGGTGGCCGGCTGCCTGGCTGGACACCGGAAGCCGTGGTGGCCTGCTGGCGCCGGTTTCTTGGCCTCTTGGGTGATGTCAACACTATTCGACCAGATGGACGATTGGCCGAAGTTCATAGCTACCTGGCCGAGCTTACTGACAATCTTCTTAAGGTTCATCAGTTTCAAGCTCTGGGTTCACCTAGTGAATCGAACAAAGTTAATAACAATGTTGGTCCTTTTTCTGAAGCCCATTCTTTGGAAGACAACAGGAACTACGGCGAGTACAAAGAAGTTGTGCGAGTGGCGGGTCATCGTCCCTCTCCTCGGAGGTCTCCCTCTTTCTTGCCCCCAATCGACTACATTTTACCTATCCTGTTCTCGGTAACTAGTAGTCAAATGACCTATTTGTTCTTTATTCTTTTTTTGGCCCATTAACTTTTGGTGCTACATAATTTAACTTCATCTTTTTAGATTTACTAATATCTATAATAAATTATTATACATATTTCATCGATTATTCCAAAGAGTTTTGCAGGATAGTTATAATAGCTTTGCTGTCCTTGTTACACCTTGCTCGAATGTTTGTTGGTGTACATGCAATACTATAGGATTAAACCTGTCATTTATGCAGTAAACGAAAGCATTAGCTACCTTAGTGTGCATTTTCTTAGCGCAAGCCTTGTATCTTACCCTAAGGTGGATGGGTCACCCAAAGATGCTCACAATCGCTCTGAACACTATCTTTGACTGCGTCTATTAATCTCCTTTAAATCCTTTGAAATAACTTTTTTATCGTTACCAAAAGTCAAGGTACTGCAAGTTTTTGCTATTTTAAATGTAGCCAAACTATTACCTAACGATGTCATTTGCTAACAATAATACGCATAAACTTGATTTGTCACATAAACTGCAGCTAGGATCACACATTTAGCTGGTAGACCGAGGTCCTTATGTGGGATTGGAAATAACTCATCCCTATACTTCCATTGTTTACCTAATGCTAGAAAAAACTCTGATATGTTGTCAAATTTAAATTATAGTTTATTTTGCATACTACTGTGCCAACGACTACTTGCACACACTATACTCATTAATTATGGCGACTTAGGCTCATATCGAGTTAGAATCTTACCATAGGATTGTTTCATGTCTTTTTATTTATACAATCATAAGGGTATTGTGATCACTATTAAAATTTGGCTAGAGGCTTATAAATATCTGAATGAACACAGGAACTAAGACCTGTTTACAACTTGATCGTTTCCTGGTCAAATCAGGCTTTTCCTCCATTTTTTCAGATTCGTACTTATTCTTGTTATATATTTTACAGAACTCCGCTTCACTATAGTTTACAGTATATAGTAAACAGTAGTTAGTATAAACTTCTTAATATAGACTTT